TAAGCAATAGCCACCATTTTCTCCTCATAAGTCTGTGTGTGCTTCACTTTCAGTGAATGTGAGGCTTAAGTCAGTTAGTCTTAAAAGCAACTGTTGTATGTTCTTTTGTACTGTAAATCCACCCCCTCAGTAAGAAATCAAATAACCTGACCGCAGGAGTCAAGAAYGACACTTCTTAACAAAATATCACCAGAGAAAGATTATGTGGAAAATAACTGACACAATACTGAGAAGCGATGAAAGCAAAAAGACGTTTTAAAAGACAGTTGTTTTTTCCACCTACTTGGAGAGCTAAAGAGGAGAGAAGAAACTGATTTTATAAATGCTCTTCAGATCTCAGGTGGTTTTAGTGATTTACGGTGTTTTGTGCATTCAGTCACACGGGTTGAAAGTTTGTTACCCAACACGGAAGAGACGTCCCGTTTGATCACGTACAGCATCTGTGCATGCTAAACATTTAGTAAAATAGAAACCTTATCTAGTTCCTTTTCCTTTGGTGTTCGGTGTCTGATCTTCTCTAGCTCTGGCGATTGACATTTGGGGGATTTCATTTCAGCAGCATCTTTGCTATCAAAGAACCGACGTGAAGATAAAAGTCTTGTTTTCAGTTTGAAGTTGCCCTTTTCTTCAAGGATTGGGCCAAGTGGCAGCATCTGTCTGTGTGTTTTAGAGATCAGCATGCAGCAGAAACAGCATGGTTCAGTGAGGAGGGGTGGAATCAGCACAGTGTGAATGGACAATAGCTCAGTCAGAGAGTGATGAAGAGGGGAAGATGAAGGGAGTTTGGATATTGTTGGAGTGAGAGGCTCTGTGAAAGAGCATAATAAATGTACAAGAGTGGAAGATCAGAGACTGGTCCCAGCCCCAGCCTCTGTACACAAGCGAAGGTGCAAACCTGCAAAGAGTTTGTCCACCTGTACCATCATAAATTTTAGAACAAAGGTCATTCTAATTATTTCAGCATTTTCAACCTGTTTCAGCCTGTTGCAACATCTGATACAAGTAAAGAAAGTAAAAAGCAAAATGGAATTTGTGTGTGTGTATGTATGTATGTATGTATGTAT